CAGTAGGAGTGATCACAGAAACAACCAACAACAGTAATAAATATATGATCACAAGAATGATAAGAAGGAGAGAAACAGTAACATGCTTAAATATGAGAACCCACTCACCCTGACAACGTCATCTACGAATGTAAAGACAAACGGAATAAATAAATACAGAATACTAACGCAGCTTTGCTAATTTTCGAAACTAGAATCGTTTTCAAATATTCCACTTCATCCTTTCAGAGAATCACAATTTTGAGAAGAAGGCACTTGCTCACAATTCCTATATCAACAGCCTAATGAGAATGCCCATGATCGTGACCGTTGTGGGAATGACCATGGCCATGATTCGAGTGGGACTTCCGTTCACGAGCAATGGTTGTCCCTCGAGCCACCTTAAACGGCATTATATAATCATGTATTCATGTTACATAAAAGCAAGAGAATTTTTCAGCTAGACAACTAATTAAAAGAGAGGTGAAATATCATCCTCCCCACCTACAAGTGCTAAAACGCTTGGAAAAATAATCATAAAACTTCAATTAAGACAGCTCACGTTGTGGCCAAATCTGTAAGACGGGCACAGCTGTTGAATTCGTTGAGTGAAGAAGTCCTTCTCCACCTGCACAGAACACTGCGTAGCACCAGCTGCTCTCAGTTGCGCTGCCACCTACAAAAAGCACATTGCTGGGATGTGCCGTCAAGCCATTTCCGCTGTTTTCGTCAAGTTTCAAGTCTGATAGTAGAATACATAGTCACAAAAAAACTACCGCTCTTCAGACGTAATTAGAGTTGGAGTTAAATGATCGGTCAAACCTTATGTCGAATCAGCTGCGCATTCGCCTCCGGAGTAGCCTGGATGTGAACCGACGCAACATTCAGATCACTCTTCAATTGCCAGTAGTGAGCTTTTGAATATGACTTCACTCCATCAACCTAAATTGTTGAAAAATTAAGTTTTCATTTCCCCAATTCAATGAATCTTTATGAGAACTGTGTATTATGGAACTACTCTACTGCAAAAATGGTGGAGCACAGAGTGAGCACTACAGTTTCTCTTTAACTCATTTGCGACCGCGCGGGATTTTCAAGGTCTGCCCGTTCGGACCAGCGCCGGATTGCGCAATAGCAGGAGAGTCAGGAGATTTTTCTTCAATAAAATTTGAGTGGATGGAGATTTCCTCTGCCCAGGGCTGGCGTAGATGAATGAGGGTATGAAGATTCTTTTCAGGAAAGAAAACTTTCCAAATTCCATTTGAAACCCGGCAGCCACCGGTAATGCCATTGTCCCGAGTGAGATCTTTGTCAGCCACCGGTGGCTGCCATTGTCACGAATGGGTTAAAACAAATTGGATGTACATCTACCGTTATTGACCCATTGACGACAGCGTTCAATGAAATGGGCCACTCCGGTGGGCCGCACTCTTGACGAGACTCGTTTTGCTCAATTCATATGGCATTTTCCGTGCTCGAAAGCAGCCCATATATAGTAATGGGTTCGAAAAACAGTGAATTCATTACTAATAGTTATTAAATTTTCGAGAAATGAATTACATATTGTCGAAAAAAATGTGAAAAAAATGCCACAGCGCACCACGCCGGTCCTAAATGGGTTAAAAAGATCATGGGAGAGAAGAGAGGCTGCTTTATCAATATCCTCAGTTGAAAAGAACGGTGTACAAGAACATAAATAAAAAATCAAAACAATCAAAATAAAAAGTTTACCTCTAACGCCTCGCATAGATGATGTTCGAATTCTTCGTCATCCGGGATATTCTACAAATACATTAATAAACTTGAATGTCTTACACATACATGAAGGGGACACTGATTCATAAAGCCTATTTCGCGTTTGTTTTGTTTATTTCTTGCTCTCGTGAATAGGATTGCCAGGAGGAATTACCACTTTCGCGAGGCAAAATGCGTGGGCCATGAGTTGTTAAGGTCACGCTTTTTGCAAGCCAGCCGCTGCGGTACCTGCTCCTTGTTCATTCGTTTAACTCTGCGCCTTCGATTTTATACTCTGCCACTCAGGACAAATGTCTCCACCCTGTCGGTCTTTTGTGGGCTCGTCTACCGTTAACATGAGTCATTTTCACCACTTTCAACAGCTTCTTTGCTTTTATTTTCTACATGGAAAAGCCGCTTAGCAACTACCGCTTCATATTCAAA